GAGCAGCTTGCGTGGCATGTCGTTCCGTTCTTGAGGACTGGTGTGGGTCCAAGTTCACGGTTCCTGGCCTTGTGCAATCCGCTCATGTCTCCATCGTACTCCTTTCTAGCATCTTGCACCTCCTGGCGAAGCAAGCCTCTCCACCTACAGCTCCGGCAGATCTAGGACTTTGTTGGTTCGGAGACGAGCTGGAATATAAGTTCGCCAGAAGCTTCCTCTCAGATCTCTTGATGCGGAAGGTGAACTTCCCGAGCGTGGCCTGCAAGCTAATGTCATCACCTACAGCACGGCCATCACCGCCTGCGAGGACCATCTTCGGTCGTCGTTACCAGGCTTCCGGGATGTCCATCCGACCAAACAACCCAGAGACTCCAATATCNNAAGGGATATTGGAGTCTCTGAGAATGGCGGAAGTGGATCTGGCAAGGGAACCAGGATCACCTGCCGGAGCCTAGGTTGACAAGGAAGCTTCTTTGGAAGCCTCGGTGGAGCGTACTTGGAGGGTCATGGGACGTAGTAAATAGGGTTATAAATAAGGTAGCCATAATTAAACCCCAATTAGGGTAATTATATCCTTGCTTACTAAGTCCCATGATCCTGCAAGTACCAACATGCTGCGTCAGCGCAAAGATGCAGTCGGTATAGTCAGTATGCCGAGGTCGGGGGTGTGCTGCACACATTTGCTCTCTCAAGCTGCTGCGCTGCTCTGCTTTTTGTTGAAGCACTGCTTCCAGGATCAATGGGCCCTTGCTCTGGACCTACTGCGGGACCTCTGCGAAGGCCAGCTGGAACCCAACGTGCCTTGGGCGGTTTGAGAGCACCCTGTGGGTCGACTCAGAGACTCCAATATCCCTTAATTAAAGGGCTCCTTAAAGGGATCTATAAGGGATCCATAAGGGAATTAATGAATATACCTTAAATCATATTAGGGATCCTACTATAATTTCAGGTCTATTCCTTAATTTTGGAGTCTCTGGGGACAGTTGTCCTGTAAAATTGCACGGCAGCTGCAACACTCGACTCAAATGGCTGGAGTCCAGATTGACACTAGAAATGTTGGAGTCAAACATAGGGGCCTTAATTATGACCTATTCTATTTTTGGGGGGGGGTCCTTGTTCGAGTTATAGTGCGACATACCCCAAGACCCTATTCTAATTATTGAGGCCCCTGCATTAAAGGCACTGGGTCCTACAATGTCCATGAGCCGAAGGAAGCCATTCCTGCCCTCCTGAATCCCGCTGCAAGTGCTTCTTTTCCAGTGACGTCCGTATCCCGACGAGGTGATTACGTACAACGCAGCCCTCAGTGCCTGCGGCAGCTGTGAGGAATGGCATCAGGCAGCATTTCGAAATTCGCCTTCAGCTTAGATACTTGGAGGATCATGGGACTTAGTAACTAGGGTTATATATAAGGCAACTATAAATATAACTCCAATTAGGGTACTTTCAACCTTACTTACCAAGTACCATGATCCTCCAAGTACTGCAGAAATTGAAGCTCGTTCGGTGCTTGAGCAGCATGAGGTGATTCCAAAGCATGTGTTTGCTTTGTTGTGTCTCAGGTTTGTTCTGCTGGGCCTTGGTTTTGTTGCCTGGAGAGCGCTGTAACTTTGTTTTGATCGCGGAAAGAGCGTCGACGAGCTCTGAGACAAGTTCGTTCGGTGCAGCAGACTGTCGGAGGGTTGAACGCCGCTTGTTGGCTCAGCACCTGCCTCTGCCAGACTCTGCAGGCGCTCAAGCTTTTCGCTGAGTTGACGGCACGGCTCTCAGCCTCCGTCGTTACGTACAGCACGGTGATCAGCGCCTGCAGAGGAGACCGTGCCTTGGCTTCATCTACACTTTCGAGTCTGTCTTTCGGGCTTTCGGGTCGCCGCTTGTAGGCATGCATGCATGCATGTATGCACGTGTGCATGTACATGCACGTGTGTTTGTATGCGTATGTTCATGTATATGCATGCATGCATGCATGCATGGCTTGCTTGCTTGAATTGCTTGCCTGCATTGCTTGCTTGCATTGTTGCATGCTTTATTGCTTGAAATATTGTGTTCATTGTTTGCTTGCATTGCTTGCCTGCATTGCTTGCTTGCTTGGTTGCATGCTTGCATGCTTGCATGCTTGCTTGCTGGCTGGCTTGCTTGCTTGATGTGTGAGTGTGGGTCTTGGTCTGCATGCTTGTGAATGACTCGTTTCGACATGCGGAGCTTCTGGACATCGTGACGCTTGCGCACAAGTGTAAGCCTGCCCAATGGCCCACTACTTGGAGGATCATGGGACTTAGTAACTAGGGTTATAAATAAGGTAGCTATAGTTATAACCCCAATTAGGGTACTTATAACCTTACTTACTAAGTCCCATGATCCTCCAAGTAGTCCAAACGAAGCTCTCAGAGACTCCAATATCCCTTGATTAAGGAATATACCTTAAATCATATTAGGGATCCTACTATAATTTAAGGTATATCCCTAAACCCTAAACCCTAAACCCTAAACCCTAAAACCTAAACCCTAAACCCTAAACCCTATATTCCTTAATTAAGGGATCTGGGCTACCTCGAGGATGGCAGCAGGCCTTGGCCTTCTTCGCGGAGCTACGCAGCACAGCCATGGAGGTGCCTTGCACCCTTCCGGAGGATCATGGGACTTAGTAGGGTTTAGGGTTTAGGGTTTAGGGTTTAGGGTTTAGGGTTTAGTAAGTAAGGTTATAAGTACCCTAATTGGGGTTATAGTTATAGTTACCTTATTTATAACCCTAGTTACTAAGTCCCATGATCCTCCAAGTAGGCTAACTGTAGAAGTAGGGTACCCTAAACCCTAAACCCTAAACCCTACACCCCTAAACCCGACGGTAACCCCACC